AGAGCGATACAGTACAGTGAGAGTGAGTATGAATACAATGAGAGTGAGTATGAGTATAATGAGAGTGAGTATGAGTATAATGAGAGTGAGTATGAATATGTATATTTGTCTATCCTGTTTATATTGTACTTTTTGTAACCATTTCCGCCATAGTACAAACATTGACGTACTAAGCAGTTATATAGTAGAATTTTGTACTATTCACATTACAGAGTCCGACAAAATTGAAGTTAAAAACAAATTTAAATATTCTTAGGCCTAGTATAGCACACATATGGCCCTAGATATCGTGTATTAGTATTAGGACTGGACGGTTTAGCGACGGTCTCGCTTCATACAGGTCGACGTTCAATCCCCGACCGCCCACAAGTGGTTGACCACCATTCCTTCCCCTCCGTCCCATCCCAAATCCTTATCCTGACCCCTTCCCAGTGCTATATAGTCGTAATGGCTTGGTACTTTCCCCCCCTGATAGTTCCCTTCCCTTGGCTTTGCAACATAACTAGAACATCGTTTTCCAGTTTAGACAAATCCAATAGTACCGATTTCTACTTTTTTAATTGTGTTGTACGTCGGTATATGTACTATTGTTCTCATAGTTACTATAAGTACTATCAAAACAAGAGGATGAGGTTGTTGTTGTTGTTGTTGTTAAAGATTCGCTACCTGGAACAAAAAGTTCCAAGTAGCACGGGCTATGGTGAGCCCCGTTGAGGATGAGGTGTTGTCTATGGTCGACTCTGTGTCTCTGGGTTTGTATACATCGTATACATAAACATACAGTTGTGTTTATGTATCCGTGTCTTAACACATATCCGTGAGACTTGAGGCTGTGACGCTGTTGATGTAGTTAGTGTGGATCTTAAGACGTTAACAAAACGCAAAGGTTTAACTAGTGAACGTTGGAGCTTCCAGATGAACGCCCTAACTGTGGAGGGTCTCCTATCACAGGTGGAGGTGAACGCCCTAACTGTGGAAGTTCTCCAAACACAGGTGGAAAATGAACGCCCTAACTGTGGGAGTTCTTCAAACACAGGTGGAAATGAACGCCCTAACTGTGGGAGTTCTTCAAACACAGGTGGAAAATGAACGCCCTAACTGTGGGAGTTCTTCAAACACAGGTGGAAAATGAACGCCCTAACTGTGGGAGTTCTTCAAACACAGGTGGAAAATGAACGCCCTCACTGTGGGAAGTTCTTCAAACACAGGTGGAAATGAACGCCCTAACTGTGGGAAGTTCTTCAAACACAGGTGGAAAATGAACGCCCTAACTGTGGGAGTTCTCCAGTCACAGGTGGAGATGAACGCCCTAACTGTGGAAGTTCTCCAAACACAGGTGGAAATGAACGCCCTAACTGTGGGAGTTCTTCAAACACAGGTGGAAAATGAACGCCCTAACTGTGGGAGTTCTCCAGTCACAGGTGGAAATGAACGCCCTAACTGTGGGGAGTTCTCCAGTCACAGGTGGAGATGAACGCCCTAACTGTGGGAGTTCTCCAAACACAGGTGGAAATGAACGCTTTAAAAGCCCGAGCTGCATAATTTCCTAAATCAACAAATCCCGTATGAAAACTCACAAGGCGGTATCCATATTTCTCTCCAAGAATCGATTGAATAAATACCCAGCAAAAAAGTTTCTGCGAGTTTAACCAGTTCAGTTTCGGGCCACGCGGGGGCAGCACCTGTCGGGGCCCCTGAAGAGATGAGACACATAAATAACTGAGAAATCCTGGTGGCAGGTTTGCGGTAGTTGCAATAGAGGGGATTAATTTGGTTTTGCGTTATGTTAAGTGAGAATCTAAACTAGAAATGCACCGAAGCTGAATATATTGATGAGATATAGAGCGATATCAAAATCACTTTTACCTGAATTTGAATTTGAACTTTGCAAAGTCCGTTTTCCGTGGGAGCGACAAGTGAGAGTTGGGACCAATGAGCTAAAGCTCAATATTTACAGACACAAATTAGAACACATACACACACACGCGCACACACTCACACACACACACACACACACACACACACACACACACACACACACACACGACAAAGAGTGCTGGGAAGACGGGACACCACGAGCGTAGCTCTCATCCTGTAACTACACTTAGGTAATTACACACACACACACACACACACACACACACACACACACACACATTAGGGGGTGATGTGGTGGAGGCTGACTCCATACACAGTTTCAAGTGTAGATATGACAGAGCCCGATAGGCTCAGGAATCTGTACACCTGTTGATTGACGGTTGAGAGGCGGGACCAAAGAGCCAGAGCTCAACCCCCGCAAGCACAATTAGGTGAGTACACAATTAGGTGAGTACACACATACACACCAGGCTAGAAGCACATGAAAATGAGTACATCCTGAAGGAGTACACCTAAGCTACTTTTTGACATAAATCATACATAAATTTTACATAAATGCTGGACGTGAATTGTTCATTCAGTGACAGGCGTGTGCTTTACTAAAAATATATTTACTTCTAGGAGGTCATTACCTATGTTAATTGATTGTCATTAAGTCAAAACATCTGTCAATTTTTGACTGTTATGCTAAGTACCAATATGTGGATGCACATATTGGTACCTTCGTCCTCTTAAAATAAGGTTGCTTTTCGCTCGTATGCGCTACGGTCCAAAAATGCCGTACTAGAAAAAGGAAATTTATTTTCCAAATGAAATGGACCCAAAACAGCAAGTTAAGGGTCCTCTGGTCGGTTAGGAGGGAAGCAAGTTCTTCTAAGGTTTCAAAAACTCATAAAAAACTGTTAATTTAAACTATCCTTTCCTAACCTAACAGACTAGAAGCCAGAGGACCCAAAACAGAAAACGGGACAGTACGTCACTTTCGTGATCCGCTTCCATATTCTAGTACGACGATTTTTATTGCGCATACGAGCGAAAAGCGACGGGTTGATGAATCAACATCCGCAACGTCCAAGCGAAGCCTAACTCCGTAAATCAGGTAGCCATACTGTCTATCTACTGTCTACTATCTACTGTCTACTATCTACTATCTGTCTCTTTAAAACTCCAGCGATACTGATACGAGATTCCATACGTCTAATTTTGTCATCTAATGCCTCTCATATTTTTTTAAATTACATGCTATTATTCACTAGAGTGAATATGAAGTGAATTATTCAATTGACTATTTTGAGTGACGTATTGGTTTCCCATTCTTCCGGGACAGGTCTGCTTTCTTTTGATAGAAACAAAGCAGACTTTGACTTCTGCTTTGTTCTGTTACTTTGAGCTCATCTATGTACCAGAGGTACAGGGTACAGGGTACACAGGGCGGTTCTCCAATGGATTTTAAAACCTACCAAACCTTATCCAACCAAATCTAATCTTACCGAACTTATCTTTACCTAGTCTAACCTTACTTAGTCTAATCTTACATAGCCTAGCCTAACCTAGCCTAACACAGCCCATCCCGACCCGAACCGACCCAACCTAACCTAACTGAACGTACCTATCTAGCCTAACCCAATTTAACCGAACCTTGCCGAACCTAACCTTTCCTAGCCTATCCTAACCAAACCTAACCCAATCAATATTAAACTAACCTAACATAAACCAATCCAACCTAACCTATCTTTCATTAACCTTACCCACATCAACCTAACCAAGGCTAATACATCCATGACAAGCCATAACCCAAAAACTAAACCAAATCTCTCAAATACTAACACCCAAATTTATTAAGGAAAGGTTTCAAAAACCAGCAAAGAATTTGTAATGACTTTAAAGCTACAGTGAGAAGCTTGTAGCCTCATTTTATTCTTGTAGCTCTCGTTGTATTCTTGTAGCTGTTGTATTCTTGTAGCTCTTGTTGTATTCTTGTAGATTTATGTTTTGAGTTACATAAACAAAGAAATAAAACTAGTGACTAGGCCATAATTACAGACAGTTAAATAAATATTGTGTAGCTATTTATTAATTATGTATAATTAAATTAATTGTGTATAATTAAATTGTTATTTACATAATTTGGGAGAGAGTTATATATTTTAAGACATTGGTTTTATATAATTTAATAATTCATTGTGTCAGGGGGACAGGAAGACAGAGTGTATGCATGCCCGTTAGACTTACAACTAGGATCCTCCCCCCCCCCACCCCCAAGGATGCAACTCCACAACAAGCTGACTAACTCCTGAGTACCTACTCACTGCTAGGTGAACAGAGGCATTAGGTGAACGGAAATGGGCCCAACCATTTCTGTCCCGTCCGGGATTCGAACCCGATTGTTCTACCGCGACTTATTTTGGCATGTTTATTTATTTATTTATTTATTTATTTATTTATTTATATATTTATATACAAGAAGGTACATTGGGTGTGTGAGAATACATAGCATAGTATTTACAATCTTGTACGCGCAGCGTTTCGGGCAGGTTCTTAATCTAACAGATACTAAAGCCATTAGTATTTACAAGATTTTGGCTTCTACAAGATTATAATTACTATACTATGTATCCTCACGATCCCAATGTACCTTCTTGTATATATATATATATATATATATATATATATATATATATATATATATATATATATATATATATATATATATATATGTCGTACCTAGTAGCCAGAACTCACTTCTCAGCCTACTATGCAAGGCCCGATTTGCCTAATAAGCCAAGTTTTCCTGAATTAATATATTTTCTATAATATTTTTCTTATGAAATGATAAAGCTGCCCTTTTCACTATGTATGAGGTCAATTTTTTTTTATTGGAGTTAAAATTAACGTAGATATATGACCGAACCTAACCAACCCTACCTAACCTAACCTAACCTATCTTTATTGGTTAGGTTAAGTTAGGTAGCAGAAAAAGTTAGGTTAGGTTAGGTTAGGTAGGTTAGGTAGTCGAAAAACAATTAATTCATGAAAACTTGGCTTATTAGGCAAATTGGGCCTTGCATAGTAGGCTGAGAAGTGCTTTCTGGCTACTAGGTACGACATATATATATATATATATATATATATATATATATATAAATAAATAAGATAATTTTAAGTAGGTAAATTCTAGCAGAATTAATAAAATGATAACAAAAAGACATGTTTCAGTTATTTAAGTTGAACTCTGGAGCTGTTAAGACTCGCAGATACAGTATAAAACACTGGGATAAATACGGGAGATAGGAAGAAAAGTAAATAGATGGATTTCAGGAATAATATATATCTCCAGAAAACAAATGGATATATCCTTTAAAATAAATAAATATACGTTTTCTGCTACATAGCCCTAAGAAGGGGGGGGGGGGACTCGATAAAACCGCATCATGGTTTTTATGCTGCCTAAAACCTTGATGAAAGCCTAACGTGTGTGTGTATATATACACATGCACATACACAATGGCTGCCTGTCCCCCGACGCAATGAATTATCATGTATCCATCGACATATACATTTCTGTATAATTGTCGTGATTCCCTAACTTTTTCTGTACATTCCTAAAGCTGTGATCTGTGGTCGTAGGTCACAGATATTAAAACCAGATGCGCTTTTTGGTTTTAGATTTCCTTTTAGGTTAATTCTTGATGTCTAACAGATTATTGTTACAAAGTAAATGAATTTAAAACATATTTTGTAAAGTCACCGAGTAGCAATTATCACGTTTTCTTTGTTTCTGCATAGAGAAAACGCGTCAGTAATTAATGGGTAACTCATATCGAAAACCTGAAGGAATGGATGAAGTCGGGACATTTAGTGAGAAGGTGTTTGAACTCTTCTTCAGAGATGCCGCCTCCATCTAAATCTGTCTCCTCCAGAAGCTGCAACAGAGAGAGAGAGGAACAAACGGTTAAAATTAAAAATATCTCACTCTTTTTCACCCTCTTTTTTGTTTTTAGATTATGCAGTTCAATTTTAAAATCGTTAAGAGAGCCGGAATGTTTTAGAATCTTTCCGTTGAACTAATTGTGTAAAATCACGCTTTACACGCAAACCTTAAATTGTGCCACATTACAGTAGCCACTCAATGGCTACTTTGACTAAATTTCAAAACATTTCTAAGCCACGGGAGTTAGTAATTCAGGTAATCCAGATAAATTCAGGTACAATTCTTTTGGCAAAATTGTGAGAAGTCAGTATATAGATGCCTTGGAGCCTTCTCTATTATGTTCTTATGATTGGTTTATATATTGGGTATACATATTTGAGTGGATCATGTTTAGTGGGAGTCTCTTTCATACATACAGTTACATGCAGGAGTCTCTTTCATACATAGTTACATACAGGAGTCACATACATACATACAGTTACATATAGGAGTCTCTTTCATACATATAGGAGTCTCTTTCAAACATAGTTACAAACAGGAGTCTCTTTCATACATAGTTACATACTGGAGTCTCTTTCATACATACAGTTACATACTGGAGTCTCTTACATACAGTTACATACTGGAGTCTCTTACATACATACAGTTACATACTGGAGTCTCTTTCATACATAGTTACATACAGGAGTCTCTTACATACATACAGTTACATACTGGAGTCTCTTACATACATACAGTTACATACTGGAGTCTCTTTCATACATAGTTACATACAGGAGTCTCTTACATACATACAGTTACATACAGGAGTCTCTTACATACATAGTTACATACAGGAGTCTCTTACATACATAGTTACATACAGGAGTCTCTTACATACATACAATTACATACTGGAGTCTCTTACATACATACAGTTACATACAGGAGTCTCTTACATACATACAGTTACACCACAGACGGGATGCTGGGGAGGGAAGCATCTTCCTCATCTCACCTTGTCAACAAGTCTCTTCTTCTCCTCCGGCAGGAGTGCTCCTTCGCCTGTCAGTTTATCTACCATAATGGCAAGGTCCTCTGCGTCCAGAATGCTGTCCTCGTTGTAATCTGTCCGGGCATATTGTCCAGACATAATATCGATAAATATGTCGACCACGGTGGCTATATGATTGTAGTGATAGTGGTAATTGTGAGAGTGGTGGTTAATGGCGTATTAATAATTAAATTAATAAATGTGATGTAATTAATAAATAAATAATATAATAAATATAAATATTTATGATTTAATTTATATATTTAATATAATATATTTATATAATTCAATATTTATAATATAATATATTTATATAATTCAATATTTATAATATAATTTAAATATAATAAAAATAAATAATAAATAAACATTATGTTATTATGATAATCATTGTGAGTAATTAATGTTTTTTTTATAATGGTGGTTGAGTATGGTGATTGTCAGTTTGGTGATTGTAATGATTGTTGTATGCTTCTAGGGTGATAGTGATTAGGGGTGATGGTGTCGATCATGACTTTGGAGAGTTACTTTTTCAGCTTCTCAAGTGAAGATGAGCAAAGGAAATATAGAAAATTATTCGTGCTTGAATCTCACCCTTTCTATCACATTCAGTAACATCTACAAGATCGCTTACCACCTAAATATTATACACACACACACACACATTCCTCCTCCTTTCTACGTCCCTGCATCCCTCTAGTTTCTTCTCTATCTCACTGCATGTTGACCAGATCACACACTAGAAGTTGAAGGGACGACGACGTTTCGGCCCGTCCTGGACCATGTGTGTGGTCTGGTCAACATACTTCAGCCACGATATTGTGACTCATCGCCTGCATCTCTCGATTAACTCACCGAACATGTGGAAGGCGTAGTAAGCCTTTAAGTGGAGGGGCGCTGACTCGCTCATCGTAGAGAGGAGGTCGAGGAAGTCCTCGAAACTCATCTTCGAGTCCCGCTGAGAGGAGAATACCCGCGTAATCCTCTCCCGGAAAGGGTTATTCTGCGTCGAGAGAGAGATAGAGACAAGAATGATGGTGATACAAGGAGGATGGTGATACAAGGATGGCGATACAGGGATGGTGATACAGTATCCCATGTACAGTTTCATCATCTGCCTTGTTCATTTCCCCCATTTCCTTGCTGATTTACTAAGTCACTTAAGTCACCTGCACCTATTCCCATCTTGTTTTTACCTAACCAAGGTTTTAATAGCTTCAACTGCATTCCTTTGCTGATTGACCCCTAATCTTAATTCCATTTGCACAAATTCCTACTTGACTAATATCCTCAGGAAGTTAAACTATTCAACCAATCCTTCGCTTCATCTATCATATTAACTCTGCTTCCTGAAGCAAGCAGAGTCGGTGCACATACGGAGGGTGTCAGGTTTGATTCCCGGGGCAGGACAGAAACGTTTAGGCATGTTTCCTTTCACCCGATGTCTCTCGGTAAACCGGTCCTCAGAGAGTTATCCAACTGTTGTGGGAGCCATCCCGACGGAGGGTCAGTAGTTGGTCTAAGAGATCCACTATAAGTCAACCATTTCCACAAACATCATTCCCCTCTATTTCCTCCATAGCGTCCAATAATCCTTCCATTTTCCATGAATTTCTTTCATTTTCATCTTTAACAGCACTCTATTACTTAACCTCAATAAACTTGTCACTTTTTTCCTACAAGAACTATGTACCATTTGCATACATAAACTATGTACCATTTGCATACATAAAGTTTGTATGATTCATATTATTCATATTATTCATACTATTCATATTACTAGCCTAGCCTAGCTAGTGTACATATTCATGTGTACTAGCCTAGCACGTCACTCTGTCATTCTGACCTTAACCTCATTCATATATTGAATAACCAAAGTGCCACCTGACAGCTCTGATATATACCTTGATATACGCGTTATAAAGCCTACGGAAATACTGGGATAAGAGGATGTTGGAATGCAGGATAGGGATGCTGGGATACAGGTGAGCTGAGATGAATGCTTGTATACAAGAATGATGGGATATGGTAATGCTCAAACACAGAGATTCTGAAATACATGGATGCTGAGATTTCAGAATTATATTACGCTTTTGTAAATTGAACATGGAATTATATGGATACCGGAATTATTGGACATATGACGGCTCAAATGCGTAAATACTAAACATATTATTCAAATGCGCAGATACTAGATATACTACTCAAATGCTTAGATACCAGACATCCATAAATGTAAATAAAAATAATAAAATTATTATAGTGAATCTACTAATGTCTACGACAGAAACGCGAGCCAGACTAAATATGGTTACTGGGATAATGATAGCCTATCCCCAGGTCGGAGCCTAGACAAGAATATAATGCGTCGTACCTTCAGTTCAGCCAGTTCTTGGACTGCCTGCTCTGGGTAGCGGACGGTTCTCTCTCTGGTTCTCTGACTGCCTACCAGCGTCTCCCATTTCTCCCAGGCCCTGTACCGGGGCGAGAGAACCGGTGTACAGGTGTGTTAGATGGAAGAACAGCAGTTGTATATCTGGGACAATCTACTGATCAATGTCACGTTATATTCAGGGATATATATACAGGTTGAAGTGTGTGTATGTGTGTATACAGAGTGGTATATTATGTACGTGATGAGGTATGTGTGTGTGTGTTTACAGGGTGGGGCAGTATTGTCATCTTTAGTCTCACTTACAGGAGAATTTCCTTTCGTGTTAGGAAGGTGAGGTCTTCGTAGTCTTCTAGTTCTTCCTCGGAGAAGGAGCTTTTGTTGTTCCCCATCTTGATGTGTTGCTGACTCTCCTGCTCTGTTACTCCTTCTGTTTCCCTCTTTTACTGTCTCCCTGTCTCTCTCTATCACTTTACGTGCCTACTTTCCCTTCTGTCTCTCTCTTGCTACCTCTCCAGTTGATTGCCTCCCTTGCTGTCTCTCTCCAACTGCACCCCCTCAATGCTGCCTCTTCCTGCAGCTGGCTCCTCCTCTTCTCTGCTGCACACAGCTCCAGCAGACTCCCTCTGTCACTCACTATTCCTAACTTGTCCAAAGGGGCTTGCTTCCTCACACGCAGCCGCTGTACGCCACCGCTGCTCCTGAAGACCCAGTAACAATTATCAATTAACATTAGAAGCCTCATATCATACACACCAACACATGGGGAGGGAATCGTATTTGTTTAATGTAGGAATCGCACCTCATAATACATTTATGAGGTGACCTGTGTTCTGTATGTTCTTTGTTATTCACGGTAAATGAGGACTTGAGAAAGGGCAAATGTACTCACCTATTGTGCAAAGTCAGAGAAAAGGTTTCTTGTGAATGTTTTCAAGGATTCTGGTGTTGTTACTACATACCTTACAGCGAACCTTACCACACCTAGTGATCACATCCAGCATAATGACACCCAGTGATCAGATACTAGGCCTCCTGTAGTCTCGGGAGACTATAGTTGCGCTATGGTGAGGCTGGAGTGTCCTCACTAGGGCGCAAAACCTGGGTAGGTCGATATGGAGGAGAAGCTGTTACCCATGCAGCAGGTCCCAGTGATCACATCAAGCCTAATAACACTCTGCCCACAACTATGATGTTTTCCTCATTGTATCACGATATCGAATACATGTATCGGCACGTGTCCCAAGGCACGGACTAAAATCGTGTGTATCGCTTATTTTCTGCTGTTCTTCTATCTTTAAACCGTCAACAACTGCTCAGTAGTGAAACAACCAATATGGCATTGAACACGCGGTGAAAATCGCATTGAACACGTGGTGAAAATGCCTTCATTAGGCTTGGGGCGCGCAGAACTCAGGCTTATCAGCCTGCGCACGGCAAGCCTGTGATCGGAGGCGGGTACTGAGCACCCTACCTCTCCTGTGCAGGTGTTATCGTGCACACACCTGGCTCAGATAGCGATCAGGTGTGATGCACAGTTACTTAACGCGGATAACTTTCTCATTTGTGGCTCATTGGTCAACCGTTTCCCCACGATTTCCTAAGCCCACGTGGAAAATAATTTGTTTAGCTTTGCCTAAACTACAGTTAATGCGTTAAGTATTCAACAGTAGCAAGAATAATGAGTTAATTAGAGGCAGCTGTAGGCAGTGTTGCCAACAGAGCTCGTCGTGATGACGTCAGGGCTATCTTCATAGGTGTTTATTTTTAAAGTATTTATATTTTACCGCCAAATTGTCAAAGTTAGCAGAATAGATAGCCTACTGCCGTGCATGTTTTCTTAGCTTGTGTTTATAAACAATTGGTGTGATTTCAGCGCTCTATCGTCTCTATAGAAGCAAAACAACACAGTTTGTCCCGGCAGATTCTCATTACCACAGAAAAGCGTATAATTTCCAGTTTTTACGCTCCATAAACGCATTCAGTTCGTACGTTCTTACGTCTTGCGTGTAAATATCAGTATGGTCGTAATGGGTTAGCGCTATCTCCTGACGATTATCTTATCTAGCGTACAAATGCTGGTCCACATTTTGTGTACCAACTTATGAACTCTAATCAAGGCATTTCCTCTCGTGGCCAGATTCACGAAGCAGTTACGCAAGTACTTACGAATGTGTACATCTTTCTTCAATCTTTGGCGGCTTTGGTTATATTTATTTAACAGTTTACAAGCATGAAAACTTGCCAATCAACTGTTGTTGTTGTTATAAACAGCCTCCTGGTGCTTCAGAGCTCATTAGTTGTTTAATAATTGTAAACAAAGCTGCCAAAGATTGAGAAAAGATGTACAGGTTCGTAAGTGCTTGCGTAACTGCTTCGTGAATCTGGCCCCAAAGGGATAATTTTAGAATACAAGTTAACTTAATTGATAATGACTGTCAATTAAGCATGTTAAATATCAACGGGCATTTCCCAGTGTTATATAGTCGTAATGGCTTGGCGTTTTCTCCCGATATTTTCCTCCCTCCAGTTTACTAGTATGCAAAACTCCCATAAGCTTACCTCTCTATACAAATTGCTTTCAAGCTTCTGTATTCAAATCTCCTACAATCTTACCCTTGGATACAAAACTACACAAGCTTATTCTCGATATACTAACCTCCCTATCTTGAGGTTATCTTGAGATGATTTCGGGGCTTTGCAGTGTCCCCGCGGCCCGGTCCTCGACCAGGCCTCCACCCCCAGGAAGCAGCCCGTGACAGCTGACTAACACCCAGGTACCTATTTTACTGCTAGGTAACAGGAGCATAGGGTGAAAGAAACTCTGCCCATTGTTTCTCGCCGGCGCCTGGGATCGAACCCAGGACCACAGGATCACAAGTCCAGCGTGCTGTCCGCTCGGCCGACCGGCTCCCAGATCTCCCTCAACCATACGGCTGTATACAAACCTCTCACAAGCATACAGCTGTATATATACCTACCTTAAGCTTACTTCTCAATGCAAAACGTGTACAAGTTTCACTGAGACCTGACTCAGTGGTAGCAGCAGTGGTGACTATCCACAGGAACTGTACCACCAGCACTGTACCCGTCAGCACTGTACCCGTCAGCACTGTACCCGTCAGCACTGTACCACCAGCACTGTAGCCGTCAGCGGTATGAGGCTGACTAACCTCTCGTTAATTAACATGCTGATAACCCATATCTACTAATACAACAGATTCCATGATGCACTTTTTTTCCGTTTCCGTTCCTGTTTTTTCTAATTTTCATATTTACATACAACCACACATTTTGTGAAGATACAGAAATATTTTATACCTTAACTTTCTATATGTATATATAAGTTTATAACGGAAAACTCCTCACCCCCTGAAGGATTCGAACCCAGACACCCAGGGCTCCAGTATCTTAGCGTATATCAATGCACCTTCGTTGCATATTGGCTTGGCACACAAACATACATCACAAACAACAAACATATTACCATACATATTGAAAGTGAGATAAGGGAAAGTGAGGTATTTCCCTACCAAGGGAGACCGGGTAATCTTGCCCTGCGTTCCCATTGGTCGACTGGGATCAATCACTGAGTGAGGTAATAAATAGGTAATTTTGTCTTAACCTTCTCATCAGTTTCTCTCTCCTTATATTCTTTCCTTCAGTTACAAACTTCCTGTATTCTCACCTTCCCTGTACCTTCCTTCATCCCTCCCTCCCTTCTCCAGTCCCCTCAGCCTTGGACCCGTTAAGGAGAGGAGAATGTGAAGAAGCAAGCAGAGGGAGCGGATTCTAGAACAGCCCAAGATGTAGCGGAGGCTGGTGGAGGCGGCCAGGGGCTCATAAGTCGGGTGGCTGTTGTTATTTATCTAACGGTGATTACCTAACATCTTACGGGCTCACCATAGCCCGTGCTACATGGACACTTCGTTCTGAGTAGCTAAATCTAAAACAACAACAAACCCAACAGCACTTCACTAATCTAATAGTACTAATCTAATGTGTATAGCGGGAGTCTAACTCTTAACAGCCTTGGTGCAGCTGTTACGTTATAGTTTAACTATTCTGACGGTTAAATTCTTTGTCGAGTTCAATTCAAGTTCAAGTATGTTTATTAAGACAAGAAAAAAATACATCTCAAAGGGATAGAGTAGCTTAGGCTATTTCTACCCCACTCCACTTCAAGTCCCTCAAGGGGCGCACAAATTCAGTGAGTACAAATACACAAATCACAATACAGTACAAGAATCCCATTTAACATTGCAGGTTAATATAGTAAGCACCACATATAAGTGTTACACTCTTGGGGCAAAATTCGTGTAGCTCCTAAGTATTCTTTGTCGAATCTGGCCTTAAAGTTATGGATGGAGGAGGCGTCCACTCGTAAAGAAGCTTAGCCTAACATTTTAAAAGCACTACGATCACCTTCTGTGGTTGTTCAATAAATCTCTGAACTGTATGTTTGACAAATCTTTCACCCTGTCCATGGAGGACAGAAGAAAATGTATATATGCTGGTTAGCATTGTAAATGTGTGGCCACGTCTGTGGTAGAAAATAATAATAATAATAATAAAAAATTCGTACAGGGCACCAGTAATTCCTTACATTCAAAAATTCAAAATTCAAATTCAAATTTTTATTCAAGTAAAAGTACATACATTGATGAAGAGCTACAAAAATAATGTTGGATTTATAGATAGAATTAGTACATAGAATACCTAAAGCCACTAAAGCCAACAGTATGTTTGTAAGTCATCTTCTATGTACTTTTACCTGAATAAACATTTTGATTTGATATTTTGACTCTATGGTTGTGGGATTTAGTTACATTAGCCTATCCTCATAGCTTAACCCTCTTAGATCTGGCACCGATCTTGTTGCAATTTTTTTTACCTTTTCAACTTTGATTTTATGCTTCAAAAGGTGGGGATTGCATGCCGGTGCTGCATATCACAGTATTTGTTTAACAAATGTTATGCAGATTACCTTGAAGGAGTCCTAATTTAGCTTTCTAAACAACAGAAAGCCTTGTAAAGCCTTTTGCAAAGGTTTTGTAAAGCCTTGCCTAACCGCAACTACAGGGGAATATTGTCTATGAGCTAAATCTTCATGCCCCGTCTACTACCCATGTTGTGTCTGCTGAGTTATTATTAAACTTGCCTGGCTTTTGAATTCTTTTCTAATTTGGCTTTAGAGTTGTGGATGGAGGTGACTTCCCCAACATCCCTCAGTGCATGCTGCTTGCTACTTGTTGACCACCCCGTACAGGGCATGAGTTTGTTTCTCCATGCCAGCTCCCACTTACTGCCTCTGTCTCCACTTAAATTACATAAAGGATAACATTAAAATCAAATCACCAAATTAAATTTATTTTTTTTTCAATTTATCTACCAATATGCTTCTCAACTCTCTATATAATGTAGACTACTAACATTACTTGAAAAATCATATGTTCCCTTACAGAAATCTTCATTTTTTTATATAAAAAAAATATTTATTCTAATTTTGATAGCCATTTTATGTTTTAATGTGTTATTGTCAAATTATGTAAATTCCAATACCAAACCTTATTTATTATCTTCAAATAGGTAAAAAGAAAACAGATAGTTTTAATATTATTCTTGAGTGTTTTGTTACTAAAATACCTTACATGATCTCTCATCAAAATGTAGCTAATACTTTAATTGATTAAAAGTCATTTACAAATTCAAATTCAAATTCAAAAATTAGCTCATTATCGTTGCAATAGAGTAAACTCATTCACTAACCCCTCCATATCCTGTTGCTTTGGTTTGATGTTGTGGTCGAGCAATCTCGGGAGAGTTGTTATTTATTTATTTATTTATTTATTTATTTATTTATTTATTTATTTATTTATTTATTTATTTATTTATTTATATACTAGAAGGTACATTGGGGTTTAACAGAGAACATAAAATTTAAATTGAATTTACATTCTTGTAAAGCCACTAGCACGCATAGCGTTTCTAAGTTATTAAGGTATTGTATGTACTAGCTCTATCTTTAAATCCAACATTATGTTTGTAACTCATCTTCAATTTATGTACCTTTACCTGAATAAAAAATTTAAATCTAAAAATATGACTATAAGTTACCGACGGCTACCAAGATCACTTTAGTTACCGATAAGATCCAGTCACAGAAAATGTACACCGAGCAACTCTTTACACCTGTGTGTATATAATAATAATAATAATAATAATAATAATAATTATGCAGGTAAAAGTACATACATTCAAAATGAGTTACAAACAGAATGTTTGATTTCTAGATAGAGTTAGTATATATTAGGCCTTAATGCCACTAATAC